TTTTTTTTTCTTTTTTTTTTTTGCGGTACGCAGGCCTCTCACTGTTGTGGCCTCTCCCGTTGTGGAGCACAGGCTCTGGATGTGCAGGCTTAGTGGCCATGGCTCACGGGCCCAGCCGCTCCGCCGCATGTAGGATCTTCCCAGACCGGGGCACGAACCCGGGTCCCCTGCATCGGCAGGTGGACTCTCAAACACTGTGCCACCAGGGAAACCCGAAATGTCTATATTTTGGAAAGCTATTTTGTTTAAAACTAAAATATTTTATCATTCTTGTTGAACATAGAGCTTTAAAGAAAAGTTTCTAATCAAAAGCCATTATATGTGAAAAAATATAATTATGTGGTAAGATCAATACGTATTTTACAATATCTTTACTTTTTGTTTTATTGGACTTATTGTTTAGAATTAAGAGGGTGTAGTACAGACATGTAGTAAAATATTTTTAAAATGTACCATTTCAAACTTTTCACCTGTTTTCTTTGTAGAAGTATTCCCTGAAATGCAAGTTTCAGATTCTGATCATGACTGGGTGATTTTAAATTTGAATATGACTGGATATTATAGAGTTAACTATGATAAATTTGGTTGGAAGAAATTAAATCAACAGCTTGAAAAAGATCCTAAGGTAAGGTTATTTTTTTACACCTTTTATTAAATATCATTAATATTGCACTCTCTAGCCTTTAGAGGTTGAGCTTTCATCAACCTGTCTGGTGGGAACCTGACCCCTATTGCCACCCCTCACCCCAAGGCATACTGGATTTTTTTTTCTTATTCTTAGAAAGGAGAGGTTTTGGTTGAATGCATTGTGTTTTTGAACATTAATCTCACTTTTCCACAATAATTTTACCTTTCTAGGTAAAAAATCAGAAGAATTTCCTATTAACCATTAATTTTGTGATCTTAGGCAAGTTAAATATTCTGCTTCAATTTCTTCACTTTAAAATGGGAATAATATCATATCTTTCTTATTGGTTATGAGGATTAGAGATGATGTAAGTAAACATATACTTAAAATTTCAAAGCCCATAATAGGTGCCAGTACGTATATGCTAGAAAATGTTAATTTTCTAAAACTGTGTTTTCACTCTCCCTCAAAGGAGACAATTTAATTCACAAGGTATCAGTAATAATCCAATATTGCTTTAAGTTGTAAAGCAACTGTAAATTATTATGCAATATAGAAATATTAAAATATTGGCTAGCTCTTATCAGTCAGATTTTAATTGGTTGAATTAAACCAAATCTCCATTGGTGCATATGGATGCTGGCTTAGAGGTCTATAGAGTTGGCTCTGCTGTGAAATCTTGGGCTGTTCATTTAGTCTCTATTCATAAAACTAGAGAGTTGAACTAAAAGATATCTTAGGTGTCTCTCTCTTCAAAAGTTCTGTGAGTCACATAGCAGCCTTTCTGGCAGAAGAGGCAGTGCACAGCATACTGGTCCAGAGCTCGGGTTCTGGGTCAGGTAGACTTCTGTTCATATTTTTGTTCATCATTTACCAGATGTGTGACCTTAGGCCTCTTGTTTGCCCAGTCATGCCTTGGGTTCCTTATCAGTGTAATAGACCTTAAAAGGTTGTTGTTAAGATTAAATAAGGTGATGTGTGTAGTATGTTTAACAGAGGCCTGACACAATTTGGGCATTCAGAACATGATCAGTAATTTTAAAAAATTATCATTGGTCCTTTGAATAAAGGTACAAAAAACAGTTATAATAATACTTTATTTAAAAATCTTTTTCAGAGTAGCTAAATTCTTTTTAATTTCTAAGGGCAGTCTTAGCCATGGAAGCACTAGGTCATGCCATTATAGCTATGATTTCTTGAAACCCTTGTAGATTTACTTATTGGAAAACTGGGGTCAATTATTCATACAACATAATTGCTGAGCAAATAAAACATTTCTATTATTAATATTAATCTAGAAAATGTAAGTGTTATTATTACTGCCAGAAAAGATATGCAGCTACAACAAAGGAAAGAATTAAGCTTGGCTTGTTCAGATGCTTAAACGGATGTTGTGAAGATAAATTTTCTGGGACCACATATATGAACATGCTGGGGGGGGTATTGAAGGACTGCTATAGGAAACTTTGGGCACCCTTAGGACACAAGCTGAGACAGAGTCCTATGGCCTGACAACGCCAGGGAGCTCAAACCGAAGTCTGAGGAGTTAGGTTGGCAGTTGACTCCTGCCTTTTCATGATTCAAAGGGCTCTGTTGGTGGTATTGTGTCAAATTAGTAAACTCTTGAGAAGAGAGATACCATTGAAAAGAGTACCTCACTATTGCCAAAATAGTGCTAAGTAATATTCTCTAAGGCTTCCTATGCCAAAAAGTCCCCCAACAACAATTTGGACATTGTGATACAATTTAATGTATACTTTCTGTTTTGGAGAGGCCCTTTAAACTTGGCTTCCTGTTTTATTTTTTAACATGCTATTTTTCACAGAGTATTTTGGCAAAACTCTCAGCCATATTTAAGCCTTATGATTGATGTCCAGAGGGATCACTTATCAAAAGCAGATGTATAATAAATAAATTATGGGAACTATCCTTAGAAATGATCATTTCTCTGTACATAATTCACATGAAAGTGCTTTGTAAGCAGCAATGATCTTTAATGTTGTTATTATTTTGAAAATTATTTTTTCACTAAAAATATTCTTATCTTTTCCTGAACATTTTTGGATCTCATTTGCAGGCTATTCCTGTTATTCACAGACTTCAGTTGGTTGATGATGCCTTTTCCTTGTCTAAGTGAGTATATTTTCTTCTTTCATCATTTTAGCATGTACCTTGAGAAATTTATAAAAATAATAACCTCATCACTATGAACTTGGTTCTTTAGTATATATAGGCCCTAACTTATTAAGATTAGGATCAAATTCTGTGGTTATTGTGGAATTTATGATATAAAAGTTGCTAGAATATGCAACAACATGGATGAACGTTGAGGACATTAAGCTACGTGAAATAAGCCAGGCATAGAAAGACAAATACTGTATGTTTCCATTTACCTGAGATACTTAGTAGTCAGAATCAGAGAGACGGAAAGACTAGTGGTTGCCAAGGGCTGGTGCAGGAGGGTGGGAGGGGGGAATGGGGAGATATTGTTTAATGGGTACAGAGTTTCAGTTTCACAAGATGAAAAGAATTATGGAGATGGATAGAGATGATGGTTGCACAACATTATGAATGTATTTTTTAAAAATTTTTATTGGAGTACAGTTGATTTACAATGTTGTATTAGTTTCTGCTGTACAGCAAATTGAATCAGTTATACATATGAATGTATTTAATACTAGCAAACCATACACTTTAAAACGGCTAAGAAGACAAATGTTATGTGTATTTTGCAACAACAAAAAAATTAGGAAAAAAGGCAATTCAAAAAAGTCATTATCAGGATAAGAGCAATAACATCTACTACTATTAGAAATGAAAGCCACAGAAAACAATGTTTTTTACAACAATTTGACAAGAAGGAATATGTTCTTTCTCAAGTCAAAACTTGGTAGTTAATTATATGAAAGTCGTATATTTTCAATCAAATTAACTTTGGTATAATAAGGTTTAAACTGATTATGGAGAAATTTTGAAAGACTCTTAAAGGAGTAGCAAAGAAAATTCAATGTTTTAAAAGAAAGCCCTGGGCTTCCCTGGTGGCGCAGTGGTTGAGAGTCTACCTGTCAATGCAGGGGACACGGGTTCGTGCCCCGGTCCGGGAAGATCCCACATGCCGCGGAGCGACTAGGCCCGTGAGCCATGGCCGCTGAGCCTGCGCGTCTGGAGCCTGTGCTCCACAACGGGAGAGGCCACAACAGTGAGAGGCGCAGGCTCAGCGGCCAAGGCTCACGGGCCTAGTCGCTCCGCGGCATGTGGGATCTTCCCGGACCGGGGCACGAACCCGTGTCCCCTGCATCGGCAGGCGGACTCTCAACCACTGTGCCACCAGGGAAGCCCCTAAATGATTAAATGGATAAATTTAGGAAGATTGTAGATGTGTTCATATTTTTCTAAGATACTGGAAGTTAAGGAAATAAAGTAATTGATGTATCCAAAAAAAAAAAAGTTTCTGGAACTAAATAGACTATCAATTAAGATTTTGAAGTGATTTTTGTTACCCAATGATGATGACTGTAGGTATAATTTTAATGAGCCTGAATTTTAGTGTATTACAGAATTATTGATTTCATTTATATTGGATTTACTCAATATAAGCTCTGCTGATAAGTTTCTAACCAGGAAAATGAATATATGTTCAGAACTTAAATTCCAGACAGTAAAATTAAGGAGTACACATAATAAAGGATGCCGTGTGTTCTCTCTTTCTTTGGCCTGTTGTATTTCTTGAATGAGGGCCTGCATATTTTATCCTTCGTTTTTTTACTACTTTTCCCCATGTGATGTACAGCACATTTCCCTGCCCACTACTTTGCTGAAACATTTCTCTAAGATTATCATGACTTTATACTGTTAACCACATCCTCCTGCAAACTTCTTTTTTGACTTCCTGAGGCTCCAATATGCAAACCTAGCTCTCCTCCAGGATCTGACTTCTCTTTTTCCTGCTGCCGTGAGCATGCTTAAGACCAGTCATGGTTGTATTATATTCTTCTACCGTTCCTCTGGATAATTCATGACTTCTGATGGCTTCAGTGATGACTTTATTATGTACATGTACAGTGCCTAGCAGATATAAGGTGTGCAATAAATGTTTATGAAAGGATATGTTGATGACTTCTAAATCTAGATGTCTGTCTGTCTCCTCCTGTCTTCTGTTTATCCTGTGGTCATTTAAATTCAGTACCTTAAACACTGAACTTTATTTTTCTGTCTCTAAATTGCTTCTGCTATCAATTTCTGTCTGTTGAAGCTACTACTACTTTTCCCATCCCCACACTTGAAACATCAGAGATATCCTTGACTGCTCTCTCTCTCTCCATCTCCCATCAAGTCATCATGTCTTATCTATTCATTCTGGGGTTCTGGGGAATGTCTTTTGGATTCTCACCTCACCACCTTCACTGCTTCCGTGCTAAGCCAAGCTTCATCACCCTTTGCCTAGCCTATTGCATTAGCTTTCAGCCTTTAGTCCTTTAGAATTCTATTAGAAGTCCATTCTGTTTTCTGCAGCACAGTTGCAACAAAATTTTAAGGTATTGATTGCATGATGTTACCCCGGCTGTTTAAATACCTTCCCATCACATGTAAACTCTTCATCTTGATACTCAAGGCTCTCCACACTTTTGATTTACCTTACCTATTAACTCCCATCTCTCACTACACATAAAAGAAATTCCCTGCCTCGGTTAACTTGGTCTGCCCATCACACTAATTCCCACTTTATCTTCTTGCCCATCACACTAATTCCCACTTTAAACTGCCTTCCTCTATCTCTCTACTTATTCCAATCCTACCCTTCCTTCACTGCTTTTCTCAACTTCCTTCTCCAGGCCTCCCTGCCTCTCCCATCACACGCATATATTTTTCTTCTTTGCTACTTTATTGTATTCATTGCCTCTGCTAGCGTCTTTCATTAACACCTTCTTACGTGCAAGTCTCAGCTCTTCACTAAGTAATAAGCTCCTCGCTGGTAAGCAACAGGAGTGTCCTGTTTTTTTTTTTTTTGTTTTTTTTTTTGTGGTACGCAGGCCTCTCACTGTTGTGGCCTCTCCCGTTGCGGAGCATAGGCTCCGGACGCACAGGCTCAGCAGCCATGGCTCACGGGCCTAGCCGCTCTGCGGCATGTGGGATCTTCCCAGACCGGGGCACGAACTCGAGTCCCCTGCGTCGGCAGGCGGACTCTCAACCACTGCGCCACCAGGGAAGCCCAGGAGTGTCCTGTTTGTGTTCAACTTGTTTTGTGTTCCTACTAGTATCTGGCAGAGCATTAGATAGAGAATGACTTTTAATTAACACTTGTTGAATGGAAATTATAGTCTCTTAAGAATGTATACTAAATGCACAAATATTCTAGTGCCTGACAATCAGCCCAACATTTGGCCTGGATTTTCTACAACCTCCAAGAATTTGGGCACTTGAACCTATCAAACTGAAATTGAGGGTCTGTCCACATTGCTTGGGTTCTACTTCATCAATGAGATGGGACTTTTACCCTCTAGCTTCTTGATTTCATATCCCTTATTGAAGTCAGGCACTGAAGCATGGGACAAATATGAGTTTTTGAGACTGTGGGGTTTTTTTAAACCAAACAGAAACAGTTATATAGAGATTGAAACAGCACTTGATTTAACCAAGTACCTTGCTGAAGAAGATGAAATCATCGTGTGGCATGCAGTTTTGGTGAACCTAGTGACCAGAGATCTCGTTTCTGATGTGAACAACCATGATATATATCCACTATTAAAGGTAATTTCATTCTTTGTTAGATGGGTTTTTTTTAAATTTCTGTCTTCCTCCTTCCATATTTTAGATAGTGTCTGTGAAAGCGGTCTTTCCCAAAATAATAGTCTATTTGTTCTGTATATATTCATTTACTTAGGAATGGTTGTTTACTCTTAGAAGAAAATACCTTAGTCATAGACCTGGTCTAGGAGATGAGTATGAGAGAAGTTTGGACAGTTTCTTAATTCTTGGTGAGGTATAAATATGTCTTAAGAAACCAGAAGTGGATGGAAATGGTATGCCTTTTTTTTTTCTTATAAAAAAAAGGATAATATCTATTAACAGCTGTTTCCCTAAAAGATTGTTAGTCTAACAGAATGATTTTTCACAATTCTATATCCATGATTTATATACTCTGATTTATAGGGCCGGCACTTAAAACCAGAGAGTTATATTCCAAAAAAGTAAACATTTTGAAGCTGCTTTTGATATTGGGAAGAGAGATGGGGAAATTAGAGTTAATGAATGAAGAAATAACCATGCCAACTTGTCCTTATAAAAGGGGAAAATAACATCTATAAAAGGGGAAATTTCTGTTATTAGATCTTTAACAGTGATCATAAGAAAGATGGCACAGGTAAAACCAAAGCCAAAGTTTGGGAGCAGCCCCTCGGAGAGTTAAGGGCCGCAAACAAAACAGCAAGTGTGTTAGGTGATGATTCCAAGTGAGGGTCTGGGGCAGTGTGAAGGCGAGATCACAAGCACTTCGGGGTTCCAGACTTTCTTTTATCTGGTGTACAAAGTGCTGATGGGAACGTACTTGAATGTGGCATGGCGACCAGTAGGAGAAGGCACTTGTTGGTGGGATCAAGGTGGCTCACTGATAACATCTGATCACTGGTTTTGAGTGAAGAAGTAAAAGCTAATGTTTGTTTTTAAAAATTTCAATTAATAACATTAATTTATTCTGAGGGATGTATTGGTAAGTGTAGGACTATTATAACCTTATTGTTTACCAGCCGATAGCTCAATTGAAGAAATTTTATTTTGGAGTCAGGGCTTAAATTAATCCAAGGCATAAATCAGTATTCCTTGTTTTTTTAGAGGTATATATACTAAGCATGGAAGTTTCAAGGTAGAAAGTTTGTTTTATATTTCTCCATTTTTTCTCTATTTTAAAGACAACTGGAAATGTTGGGGTGATAGTAAATGATAAGAATGGTTAATATTTATTGAGTTCCTACTATGTGCCAAGCAGTGTGCTGGCACACATCATATCGTTTACGTATTGCTTACGTTTGAGGAAACTGAACCTATAGAGGTTTTAAAAGTTATACATTTAGTGACAAATAAAGATTATTTCTGAAGAAATATCTGTCACCTCTCTGTTAATGTCTTTTCAGACAAAGAGAAAAGCAGTGTAAATTGGGTGCTGTGAGCAGAACTAACAGTATATTTTCTTTATTGTTTATAGAATTATCTGTTAAAGAGACTTATCTCAATATGGAATACTTATTCAACTATAATTCGTGAAAATGTGGCAACATTGCAGGATGACTATTTAGCTCTGTAAGTACTTTTTGAGCAGTGATCATTGAATTAAATAATTCATATTAATGGATAGGCTTCCAGATTCATAAAATAAGATACTAATAGTTATGATTCACTGAGAGATTTGTGTGCCATGTGAGAATAGTAGATTTGGGATTGGTGAGCTACATGTATCCTAATAGGAAATAGTAGTTTGGGAATCTTAATTTACCTGCAAAGCACATACAAGTACACACAGGAATTTATAGCTTTATATTCTCAAATCTGAGGCTACTGGTTGAAATCTTAAGTATGTTGTACTATTGATGAAGGGTTGTGCTAAGCAAAACCAGCCTATACAAACAAATTGAAGGGTACAGGAAGGATACACGGGGAAAAAAATCCCCTCTGTATATTCTTGATGACAGAGGGAAAAGTTCCATTATTTATGTCAGACAGAAATTCTAACATTATGCAGATATGATTAGGGAGGTTGACAGTGAACTGTATCAGTCATCTGTGTGTGAGCATGACCAAGTATTGCAAATGATTTCCCCATCATTGGTTCGGTTAGGGGACTATGCCTGTTGTCATGCTGCTCTGGGAAGGGGGTGAAAGGCAAAACAGGGCTGCAGTACCGCTGGCCTCCCTGTGACACAAGGTTTGTGTGTGTAGGCTGGGCTTCCAGATTTAGCGAGGGAATCTGTGACCAACAATGAATGGTACAGGGATTATATTTACAGCTCTAGTCAACATCAAGCCGAAACCAATTAGACCAAGTAAGAAATACAAAAAGTGGTTATTCTCTCTCACAAGTATCCTTCTGAGAGGGGAGAAATTTTAGAGCTAGGGCCTGTGAATGGACGAACATAGGGTTGGATTTACAGGTGGATGGAAGACAGCGGGGATGAGCTAGGATGGAAAGTGGGTAGGCAAGTTGTATAGGCAAACAGAAAGGCCCAACCAGGCAGCACCTTTGTTAACCAGCCATGGCCTTGGCTCTCCTAAACTGGCCTGAAGTGACCTGCTTTTTGTAGCATCCCTGGGCCAGTTCTCTTCAGAGCAATCTCAGGGAGTTAGACTGTGCTTCCAGAGAATTCTATCTTGCTGCTGCCAGCTTGGGGTGGGTGGGGAGAGGAGTGAATGTGTAAATGAGTGCTCAGAACTGTCTCTCAGAAGGTCTCCCCCCTGGCGATTCTACCTCTGCTTATCAGAAGGTCAGGCCAGGCTGGGATGAAACTGGAGGGAGGGTGGAGCAATGGAGATTTGCCTCTTGGCATTTTCCGGAAATTTCTGACCCATCTGAATTCCTTTACCTCTTACTCCGAACTGCAACACCTCAAGGCACCGCTCATCTGGATGTATCATTATTCTTCTCCATGTTCTTTTGAACTTATTTCGTTTGCAATCGTAATGTGTACCTCTGCTCAGCTATAAAAACAAAGCAGATACCTCCGTTCTTTTTACAACGTTAATAGCCAGGAGGAAGAAACAGAAGCGTAAGCCAGGAGAGGCTCGCTGTCAAAGGAGAGGAATAAACCATTCCCTCTGTTCTCATGTGTAGAGAAAGAACTTGATTTTTAAGTGTGTTATATCAGATACTTAAAAGTCTTTTTTTTTTTATCTGTAAGGGAGTTATTGTATAAGGGAGGAAAAATAAATTGATAACAGATGTGGCATGTGTGTACACCCTTGTGTGTTTGAGGGAGATGAAGGAAGGCAGTAATTTATTTCTTACTTTCAAAAAGTATCAGTCTTGGAGCTTATTTGGTGCCTGAGAGCCTCTCAGCAAATATTTCCCTGAACCTTAAATACAGTTGCCATCCACAAAGGCTATTTTTTAACAAACCTGATGTTATTGGAAGGATGTTTTAAAATACCCATCTTTTTGTGAAACACATATTCTTGGCAGCAGAAAAAATAAACGTAGTATTGAAAAATACATGTTTTTCTTTGATATTTCCTTCAAGAATATCACTGGAAAAACTTTTTGGAACTGCGTGTTGGTTGGGTCTTGAGGACTGTCTTCAGCTGTCAAGAGACCTTTTCAGAAACTGGATGAACCATCCAGAGAATGAGTAAGTGTAATATTGTAATTGCCCTTCTTTTTGTCCTGTTTCAGCACCAACAATTTCTCTTCCTTTGGATGCTCTTACTCTGGGAGTGAGCATTTTGTTTTTACTTAGATAATCTCTCTCTCTTACTATTTTTTTCAAATGTCCTTTAAAAAAACACACACACACAATTGTCTCATGGAGGTCTGTGCATAGCAATAGATTAGAATTTATACACGGAATTCTCATCCAGGACCTCTCATTGCCAGTGCATTCCCTAATAAGCACCTGTGGTTATTTCGAGTCTTATTTAGGTTGTTCATTATAGTTATTTATTCACATATATAAAAGTACATCAGTGCATCTCTTTCTGTGTAAGTTTGCAGTCTCACTGACACCTGAGACCAACACTCTGTCATTTTGGTGTTATTATATTACCTTTAAAATATGACCTCAGATGGACTCTTAGAAAATGTGATAATAAGATATGAAACCAAACTGAGTTATCAACATACACTGTTTGTACTGTTCTAATTTACTTCTCCCTCAAACCTCCTTAGTTTCTAAACTAATTTGACGATCTCAAGATGTTAATATGAATGATAGTTTTCACAATTGCTTCTCTAGATTCCTACTTTTGATATTTATATCTGAGATCACAGACATTTTTTCTAGATTTATACTTCTAAATATATGACAACTTAGATTAACATATAACTTAACTGCTATGAAAAATATCATTGCATGTTATACCTTACAGAATACCTTATCCGATTAAAAATGTGATTTTATGTTATGGCATTGCCTTGGGAAATGATAAAGAATGGGATTTTTTGTTAAATATCTACAATAATAAAACAAAGGAAGAAGAAAGGATTCAACTTGCTTATGCAATGAGCTGCAGTAAAGATCCGTGGATACTTAACAGGTGATTATTACAACTTACCTTGAAAGGGCTCTTGGTGGAGGAATGCAATTAATAAACCAAAGGGAGAAAAATAGAAATGAGCTAATATAAGAATTAATATGAAACATACTTATAATTCAGTAACTTAGAACCATATGGGATTTTAACTCCATTTATTTAAATTTACTCTTTCCATTGGATAATGTTTACGTATTTATTTTCTGCCACATGCACTTTTACAGATACATGGAGTATGCCATCACTACATCTCCATTCACTTTTAATGAAACAAATATAATCGAAGCTGTGGCAGCCTCTGAAGTTGGCCGATATGTTGCAAAGGACTTTTTAATCAACAATTGGCAAGCTGTGAGTGAAAGGTAAGGAGGAAATGTGAGACCTCTCTTTCATTTAGTTCATTGGTTTGGTGCTAGTGGCTCAACTTTAGTCTGGCCAGGTCACTAAAGTTCTTTGCATTGACTAGAAAACTGATAAATTTTCCTGCGTTTAGTCTCACCACAAACTAGCTGTGTGAAAGATAAGGTCACTTATCCTCAGTTTTGGCTTTTTTTGTGAATGTAGATTTGCATGGGGTACTTATCTACCTCAATTTCCCACTGTGCCCACTAAGAATCTTGTCTTCAGAGACACAGATTAGAGCAAGTCATGTTTTTTGGTATGAGTGTACATCATCCATTCATTTCTTTTGTGAAGTGCATCACCATATCTTTATTTTATTTTATTTTTATTTATTTATTTTTTAGATGTTGGGGGTAGGAGTTTTTATTAATTAATTAATTTATTTTTGCTGTGTTGGGTCTTCGTTTCTGTGCGAGGGCTTTCTCTAGTTGTGGCAAGCGGGGACCACTCTTCATCGCAGTGCACGGGCCTCTCACTATCGCGGCCTCTCTTGTTGGGGAGCACAGGCTCCAGACGCGCAGGCTCAGTAGTTGTGGCTCACGGGCCTAGTTGCTCCGTGGCATGTGGGATCCTCCCAGACCAGGGCTCGAACCCGTGTCCCCTGCATTAGCAGGCAGATTCTCAACCACTGCGCCACCAGGGAAGCCCCACCATATCTTTAAGAAACAGCAATGTTCATTACTACATAAGCTTGGATATTGCTTGTGCCTTTTGTCAGATTCCCTTTATGTATCTGGCTTCCATGTTCTCGAACTTTTTATGTTTCTCACCTTTTAAGATTAAATCTGCTTGCTACTTAGCCTGCCAGGTAAAATAGACTTTGAAATGCACAAGTCAGGCAGCATACCCTCGATAGCTGCTCTTTCTAGAACATGACTTAACCATACGTTCGTTTTGCGAGGGGTGGGAGGGTGGATCAAGCCATTTTATTGAGGGGCTTCAGGGGAGGGTTGAAGGGCTGGGAAGACAAGGAGATCTGACAGCATCCTTCTCCAGGCCAGGATCTCCCCAGCTTCACAGTCTCTGAAAGCCTGAACCATACATTCTTAAAAGCCTCGAATAAGTATGTCCTACAACTATTCACATACTGAAGCGTTAGCAGATTAGAGTAGACAACAGTTCAGGTACATACACAGCTGTAAAGTTGGAAGATACTTTTTGCAAATAAATTTAGGTCTTTGGAACAGAAGATATATTTAGAATATAAATGTTTAAGAATCTGAATATGGTTCTCTTATACAGCAAAATAATGGAATGTTTTTCTTTTATGTACATGTATTGAACACCTTTACAATACGCCAAAAATGTATTTTTAAATCAGAAATCTTAAGCATGTAGATAAAAGCTCTTTTGTACAGTACCATTTTTCTGGCTCATCAGGGGGACATGCATAGCATACTCACATATTGAGAAAATTGTCCTTATCTCTTGTTTTAAATTATCATTCTAGGTTCATTGTTCAGAGAGCCTTATGACCTTGGGGGTAAATTATGTCTTCCATTTTTGTTTAAGTCATTAAAGGTGATGCCCTCTTTCCCAGGTCCTACTTCCCGGTGGGAATTTGGGAGTTGGGTGTAAATCAGAAGTATTTACTCAGGTTGCCTTGTTCCATGAGGTTTCAGAGGTTCCAGCCTCGTAGGGCTGTCTGTTACTTTCTGTTCTGTCTCCCTGGAGCTTGTTTCGAAAGCTCTGACCCCCATCATGCCCCCTCTTGGGCTGACATGCCTAGCTTTGCCTGGACTGGAAGCCATCTGCCCTCCTGCTGCCGTGATCATTTTGCTCAAGATCATTCACTTCAGCTACAGTCCCTGACTGTTTTCTTCCAGAGCATCCTGTGGAACAATCTAGCAGCAATTTTAGAATTAAACTGCTGAGAGAACAGCTCCTTTAAAAAATAAGTGGTGCTTTTCCTGAGGACCCAGCTTGTAATCACTGCAGCCTATCACACTCTCCATGCCTTCGGATGCCCTGCCGGGCCCTGAGAAAGACGCAGCTTTAGGTGGTTCATACACCTAAAGACTCCCAAGCCCACCCTACCGCTTGAAAATCAGAATCTGCCAGAATAGGGCGCAAAATCTGTACCTTTCTCTAGCACCCCAGGTGACCCCGGTGTAGTTTAACATGGAACCAATTGACACTGGATTAAAAAATTATCTAAGCCTGCATTGCTCAATATGGTAGCTACTAGCCAACATATGGCTATTTAAATTTAAATTAAGTAAAATTAAGTAAAATTTAAACTTCAACTCCTCAGGGAATTCCCTGGTGGTCCAATGGTTAGGACTCCACGCTTCCACTGCAGGGGGCACAGGTTCAATCCTCGACCCCTGGTTGGGGAACTAAGATCCCATAGGCCTTGTGGCACAGCCAAAAAAAAAAAAAAAAAAAAAAATTCAGTTCCTCAGTTGTACTAGCCTTGTTTTAAGTGCTCAGTGTGGCCAGTAGCTACCATACTGGACAGCTCAGATAGAGAGCATTTCCATCCTCGAGAGAATTCAGCTGGGCAACACTGTTCTAAGGGGTAAAACAGCCTCTCAATTTATTTCTCCTCTCTTTCTATACCATACACAGCACACGTAACTAGTTAAGCCCCCCAAATGGCTTTGAGCAACCCATGGAACTTAATTTAAGTGTGTGTTAATTTTTATTCCTCAGAAGAACTTTTTTCTGCATTTGGAGAACAGAAACATGTTTGCAACGCTCTCTAAATAGTCCATTGTCTAGCAATTTATTTAAATGATTTAACTGTATTAAATACGAGTATAGAAGGACTTCCTTTAAAAAAAAAAAAAAACTCTAAACAGGTATTTCATATCCCTAAGAAGGTCTTAGAATTGTGAATGCATTCACTTTTAACCATGGCTTAAATGTTTTTATCTTTTATCAACAAAATGCCATGCTCATAAAATAGATGCCTTTCCTTTTCTGTTTATGATACATTAAGCTCAGTTCACTCCTCTTACACATTCTGCTACAAAAAGTCTTTGAGACTCAAATAAATTTGCCTTCTACATCTAAAACATTTATTTTTAGGATTCAATTTATAGTCACCAGTCTTGCTGAATTTTGCAAATGATTTTGAATAGACAGTAATATTATATATGGATTGTTAAGAGGAAATAAAAGTTCAAATTAATAATTAAAATGTTATATACATTAAAACGGCACAGGAATGCTTACCTTATTCTTTGTACATCAGAATATTTACTTAGCACTTATTAAACAATTATATTTGACATGAGTATTTGTATGTCACCAGTCTTCATAAAATGATAAAGGTAGTATAAAAGTGTAAGTAAACAAATGCGGTGACAAATTAAATTTTATGTTATTTAAGTGAAAAGGATTTATTTTAAATTTGCTATAATGTGACTGATCACTCGCAAATTAGCTTTGAAACTGGTATTTCTCCAGTGTGTTTCACTGAGCATTATTCATGGAGACACTGACAAGCCTTCTGTGAACAAAGGAGACAGTAGCCCATCGGTTTGGAAACTGTCTATTTTAACCTCCACGAATTCACAGTATATGTTAGCATCATAAAGCTCCAAGAAGCCTGTCAGAAGGAAATCTAGCATCTAGCCCAGCGTCTTGTCACTGTAATCCTGCTATGTACTGTCTATGCTAATGTAAACAAAGTGTCATTCTGCCAGTAGATCAGTTGTTCCAAGCGAAAGACAGATGAGAAACTAAATTCTCTAACCCTCTCATCTGGAACTGTAACTAGAACAACATTTATTTATTGATGGCCTATTAGTTAACATTTAGGCCTTGGTTTCCACTTGCATAAAATGAAAGATGTTGTATGTGATCAGCTGTAAAGTTCTTTCTGGTAATAAGAAGTTTGCCAAGGCACAGTTAGTTCAAGCTGTTGTTGGGGGTTATAAAGTGATTAAGACACGGTCTCTGATAAATGTTACAGAGGACAGATGGAGAGTGCTCTAGGGATTCAAAGAGAAGAAGGGGGATTTGAACAAGCAGGTGGAAAAACTCACCTTCTACATGGAAGGGAGGCCACCAGTAATTGCCTGGGGGCAAGGCTGAGAGTCCGACTTGGGACTGATCGTCATAACTGGCTGGAGCTTAGGGCCCTGGAAAGGAGGCAGTAGGGCTGGTCAAGCATTAGAGTTGAGACACTGCCAATAGCAGTCCAGGAACATCTGCTCCCCTTAGCCAGGCCCCAAATTCTTCCCAGGGAGCCTAATCTGAATATATATTTTGGAACACTTGCTTGAGTAAAACAACTTTGGTTTGATACTGCTTCTCAGTCCCACGTGCAGGGCACTGCACTGGTGGCTGTGGGGTATTTAGTTAATTGTTAGATGAGAGGTGATCTTTTGGATACTGATCCCACTGAAGGAGCTTCCACTAACCATAAAGACATCTTTCAGGTTACAGAGAAATCAGTATGAACCTGCACTTGTGCATAGCTCCTATGAAGAAATGTGTGAATAGACACGAAACAATAGGATTTTTGTGACTTCTTTTTGGATGTGGTAGAAATGATGTTTGTTTCGTGCTTGTTAATGTTGCTTTTGGCTTTCATAAAACGATTCAGGCTTCACCGCCTACAGCAATACCCTAGCTTTATTTGAATATAGAATACAAGGTATCATCACTTTCAAACTCAACTGATCCAAAACGAATCTTACCCTCTTCTTCACCAAACCCCTTATTTCTTCTCCAAATATGTGATACTGGCTAAAGTCCTATGCTTGAAAAACTTACACTCTTTTTTCTTTAACTTTTTATTTTAAATTGGAGTATTGCCGATTAGCAATGCTCTGATAGTTTCAGGTGCACAGCAAAGCAACTCAGCCATACATATACATGTATCCATTCTCCCCCAGGTTCCCCTCCCATCCAGGCTGCCACATAACATTGAGCAGAGTTCCCTGTGCTATACAGTAGGTCCTTGTTGGTTCTCTTTTTAAAATATAGCAGAAACTTACACTCATTTTTACTTCTACTCTGTTGTATTTCATGATGGGGAACATAGAGTTGAAAGGGTTAACTTGGAACAAACAGAGAATTAAGATGTTATCGGAGTGCTGTGTCCAAGCACTGGAGGGCCCATTTTCACTGCCTATCACTGGGTCAGGCGAGATACCTGGCTGCCTCCATGCTTGCCTAAGTGGCCAAGCTTGCTGCAGGAAATCAGACATGGCAGGGGAAGGGATGGGAGGGGAGGGCAAATGTGAGAAAGGAGAGAAGACGAAGGTGAGATGGACTAGAGTCCCAAATCACGCTGACTAGCAGTGAATGTTATCAATTTCTTGAAAGGGCAACTATCCTGACAAACGTTGGCTCCTGTCTTCATGTTAATACCTTTGACTACTGGTGGGCTAAGCTATCTGTAATGTATATATTTTTGTTGAGTACTGTTGTATTTCTGTATTTCTGTTGTATTTTTGTTGAGTACTGTTTCAAAGGGATTGCTCTCTCAACCAGAAGGATAAATCATCTGTCTCAAAAATATCTTCTCTTGAAACTTTCAAGAACAGGAAGGAATTAAATGTGCCAGGCATCCTGATAGGCGCTTCGGTGTACATTATCTCATATAATCTCCATTCTAACTATATGTTATTCCCCATTTTTACAATTTATAAGTTGCCACAAGGTAACTTCAAACCCACCCCTGCCTCTGGGGTAACCTTTCTCCTGTATTTGGTAGAAAAATCACACATTTAGCAGCGTAGGTAGTTTTCTTTTGTTTCCTACATTTTTTTAAGTCTGGAACTCAGTTTCTTTGCAAATTTTGTCAAATTTCTTGAGTCATTTCACAGGCCTTTTAAACCTGGCCAACCAAAGTGAAGAACTAAGAAATATTTCTTCTTTCCCCATAGAAACAGATTTGGTTGCCTGAATTATATGTAGACGGTCTCTTATCCTCCACTTTGCTGAAGTAGACTCAGCTTAAGTTACAGCTGGGAACTTAAAAAGGACAAAAGCACTGTTTTCTCTCACCTTTGTCTGCATATCATGCCAATGTTAACTCTTACAATTTTTAATTTCAAGTATACATTTTTGAAGTAAATCAATTGTGTGTGTTAACTATCAACTATCAAGACAGAATCCTGATTCAACCCTTTCTTGTCCAGGCCATTATATTAACCTTTTAAATTTTCTTTCCTTTTTAATGCATCCAAAAGTCTTTCTTTAATTTTTTAACTACAGCAACACTTTGAGCAGGTATGTATCTGCTGTTTTTCCATAGCAACATTTCATGGCTGTTTTTCAGACAATTCTTGTCAGTTATTCAAGGTCACTAAACTAAAGGGGAAGTTTCAGTTACCATACCTGTTTGAGGGAGCTTAAGGAAAGCCAGAGTACTTAGCCCTCGGGGATCACCAACATTTTGAGAATCTCTTTCCAAAAAGCATATACAAATACAGAAGTTTCAGTAAGCTTTCAGGGTATTTTAGTCAGCGTTTCTGAAACTGATTCTATATTAACTACACTTTTTAAGGGGTATACTTTTAGTATTTACCTATTCTCTCTCTTTTTTTTTTTTTTTTTTTTTTTTTGGGGGTGGGGGAGCCTCTCACTGTTGTGGCCTCTCCCGTTGCGGAGCACAGGCTCCGGACGCGCAGGCTCAGTGGCCATGGCTCACTGGCCCAGCCGCTCCTCGGCATGTGGGATCTTCCCGGACCGGGGTACGGACCCGTGTCCCCTGCATGGCAGGCGGCCTCTCAACCACTGCGCCACCAGGGAAGCCCTACCTATTCTCTTTTAAAATTTCTTAATTTGGGTATGTGACATCTGTTCTAACCACTTCATTTTGAAAGATAAAAACAGTTGTTGTTACTGTTTTTAAGAACAGCTTTTTATATTTAAATGAAACTTTTAAAACTATCTGTTACACAAATCAATATTAAACTATAATTCTTTGTGCTAGTAGACTTTTGTATAGCATGAATTTTCTATGAAAAGATGAAGCTAAACACGTTCATATATCGTTTTGCTTAGATTTGGGAGTTAGGAATTAATAAGGGCTGTATACTTAGCATTTATCTGCTCTGTAGCTTTGTCTTGCCAAACATTTTCCACTCATGATTAGCATCTCGTTGCTTTGTAGGTATGGAACACAATCATTGGTTACTCTGTTATACATAATAGGGAGAACCATAAGTACGGATTTACAGATCTTAGAGGTAAGTACTATAGATATTGTGCATTATAAAGACAATTTAGAAGCCATTTTTTGTGTAATTTGGAGTTGCTAAAATTAAAAATAATATGCTTTTCTGAATTGTCACATTCTATGCTCCATTGATGCTATTATCACTGTGCAGGAAATGTCTTTTTTTAATTATTATTTATTTGTTTATTTTTGACTGCGTTGGGTCTTCATTGTGGTGCGCGGGCTTCTCACTGCCGTGGCCTCTCCCGTTGCAGAGCACGGGCTCCAGGCACGCAGGCCTCAGCAGTTGTGGCACATGGGCTCAGCTGCTCCGCGGCATGTGGGATCCTCCCAGACCAGGGCTCGAACCCGTGTCCCCTGCATCGGCAGGAGGACTCCCAACCACTGTGCGACCAGGGAAGCCCAGGAAATGTCTTTTAATTCTGTCTTGCTCTTGAAATAGAGACCATTCTTGTTCATGGAGGGCTGTACTTCACCTGAATTATTGCGGTAGACTATGGCCTGGGCTCCCTGGCGTAGGCTGTTCTTCCCTCCATCCCATCCATCACATCACTGCCGGTCATTGCCCTGCTCCCAAAGTTTCAGTAGCTCATCATAGTTTTTAGAAGAATTTTAAAATCTTTTCATTAGCACATGAAGCCCTTCATAATCTGGCCCCTGCGTTACTCCCTAGCTTCACTTTTGCCCACTTCACCAACCAGTGTCAGAGAATAAGAGGCATAGGTACCCCCAAACACTTTTCCTCTAGTTACACTGTACCACTTAACAGAATTTCTTAAATTATCATGTTGTTGCACATTTCCCAGATTTCAGAAACACTCTACCTTCTGTCTGGGGTGCCCTCCTAATGCCTGTCCTTGGCTGGGTAATTCCTAATCCTCCTTTAAGACCCTGCTCAAACCACATATTCTAGGAAATTTTTTTTTTAATGAATTTATTTATTTATTTTTGGCTGCATTGGGTCTTCGTTGCTGCATGCGGGCTTCTCATTGCAGTGGCTTCTCTTGTTGCAGAGCATGAGCTCTAGGCACGCGGGCTTCAGTAGTTGTGACTCGCTGGCTTCAGCGGTTGTGGCTCACGGGCTCTAGAGTGCAGGCTCAGTAGCTGTGATGCAGGGGCCCAGTTGTTCCGCTGCATGTGGGATCTTCCTGGACCAGGGATTGAACCCGTGGTCCCCTGCGTTGGCAGGTGGATGCTTAACCACTGCGCCACCAGGGAAGCCCTCTAGGAAATTTTTAACTAACTAATTTACACCCTCTCCTCCTCCGTGCTCCCAAATCATCCTATATAGTTGTTACTATGAGAGAGAGAGGAAGAACTGGTAATTCCTGAAGGAACGATCTTTGTTTGGGTTTTGGCCTGCCTGAGGCTGAGCTGTCAGGACCTGATTTATCAAGGATTCCCCAGATAAGAGAGTGAGGGGCACACCCAAAAATCCTGGAACAAAAGCTCCTAGAATCAAAACCGAGTTTGTGTTGGTATCTTCAAAAGTGCCTCTGTTCATCTTTATCTCTACAAAACCCAGTAGTTTTGTTGTTGAATGAATGAATGAAGTTTGTATAACTTTAGCAATCCCCAAAGTTCCAAAATTCTATAATCACTGATAGTTCATTAAAAAAAATGCAAAAATGGATTTAGCAGTAGTTAAATTATTGTAATTTTGAAAACAAGTGAGTTAGCTACCATGAATATCTTTGTCAAAAAGCTGTTAATGACCAACAGTCCTACTGCAATGTATTGGTTCACATGATAATATTGAAAACAATTACTAAAAATGGTAAATGAAAAGAAAGTCATATGAATCCCTTTTCCCTCCACACCAGCACAGTTTTTATACACTCTCCTTATCTCTTGCTCTGGTCTTTCTATTCCACCCTGCTGGAGCCTGTCCTCACTTGTGCTCTCAAGCACCCGTGAAGCCCCACACACACAGTCCCACAGACCCACACTCCCCTCCCACCCACTGCAGGTGCTCGATCGTGGGCGGTGCTGCTGGTGTGTGGCTCCCACTGCCTGGCAGGAACGCCCAGTTGTGGGAGAGAACGGGAGGTTTGCCCTGGCCCCTTAATCTACTTTTTCCTAGAACCTTATTTGTCTTTTGCATTGTAGTTAGGCTTGACAACCCTATTACTACCTAATTTCAAGTACATTAGGGTTTATGTGACCTTTTGTGAGCTGGTAGGGTACACTATCATTTTATGGTAATGTGTGTTCTGAGTTATAATCCAATGACACAGAAATAGACTTTTGGAATATGATTTATTCAGTTCAATTATTATTATCCCAATTATTCAATTGGGATCTGTCTGGCTTGAATGTAATATTGCAACAAACATTCCCATAACTGAATGCTTGACCTGACTCAATGAAGGAATTTAACCAATGGATGAATCCACTATAAATATTCTTAAATAAAGGGTAACATTTGTAAAGACCTGGATGTTGTATACCAGTTTTGAACTTTGGAAGTTGCAAAGTTTCTTTTGAAATAAGGAAAGGTCTCATTGTGTCTCTGTCTACAAATCTTGTATAATATCCAATATGCATTCTGGAAATCTTTATTGAACACCTACTATGTGCTTGGGGAATAGAGCAGTGAGTAGAATAGACAAAGTTCCTACTTCCTGGAGCTTCCAGTCTACGTCGGATTCTTCAGGACAGGTGTGGTCTTCATCACATTTTCTCAGTCACAGTCTCCTCAGGGACACACCATATAGGGACAGACATTGCTACTCATTCCAACTGTCATCATCCATTCACAAGATCATGTCGCTACTTAACATGAACTTTGTCTTACTGTGCCTAAGTGAGAAGTTCAATTGCACTGATGGACCAACCGTCTCTTTATCCTTTCAGCTGCAGCAGTTTTGCAGTAACATGTTGGAGGAGCACCAGAGACTCACAGTTCAGGCCAAATTACAGACAATAAAGAATGAAAATCTGAAAAACAAGGAGCGAAGTGCCAGGATAGCTGCGTGGCTACAGAAAAACACATAATTTAGTGGCAACTTTCGGCCCTTCTCTTGCATATTATAATGTGCTCACGGTTTTGTCTTCCAATATTCTGTGAGTCTGGAAAACCACACGTTTTGTTATTCGTAGTTCAGTCACATTTACTACTCAGAGTACTGTTCTTCCCCTATTGTCACGTTTGGCCCTGAGGCTCAGTGATTGTTGAGGTTTTTGCCAATAATGCTGTATTTCTGGGGAAGATTTTGCTTCATGTTGGGCTATAAACCACATGATTTACTTTAAATGCCTTGGAAAAACAAATTTACCGTAGAAAGTTTTGCTTGTTCAGTTGTGAAGGCCAGTGGAATATTACATCATTGGGTAATGAGCACATTCTTTTCTGAGGGAAATACAGATTTGCAATACTCTAGGGTTTATTTAGTTCAATACTTAAAAGAGTAATGAGCAAATGACACAACAGTGTAAAGAAATAGAAACCAGAAAAATAATATTCACTAGAAGACAGACAAGCCAAAGAAATGCAAGTTTTAAAAAGAAGAAACAGACAATTTTGTGAGCCATGTTAAGTGCCCCAAAGGCAAGAAATGTGTCTCCTCCTGCCCATTTCTCTCTCCCCAGTGCCTGCTGCATCACGCCACACTTTACTGGCTACTAACTTTATGGTGTCACAAAGAGACCTGGAATCGTAGGATCTATGAAGTACCCTTAGGATTGCTGTTGTGGAGAGCAAATGGAAAGCAAGGCTGTGCCCTGAAGCTCTTGACTGTAATTCACCTGTGGGACAGACACCCTTTCAGCCAAAGTTTAGCAGCAAAAATGATGATGTCAACAGACAATAGCAATTATGGGCTAATCTCCATCGCAAAGGACAATGGTCAGATAAAGAGTAATAGAACTAAAAGATTAACCAGAGCATAATCTTTATAGCTTTGCACTCAGCAGATTAAGTTTGAAATGTGGTTTCATTTGGCCAAATTGAACCTGTTTGTAGTTTGGACAACTTTAAACATTTTCATCAATCACAAAGTACGGAATTAGCTTAGTTTTGTTACCCCTGATTTAATCAGGACAGCTAAGGCAAATCATCCTACTCTAGATTTTGTGTGTATACCATTTAATTCTTGTTTTCATTTTAATTTTGTTTTTACAGAATGGGGGTAAAACTACAGATCTTCTATCTACCTCAAAGTGATACTGTAAAGATTAAGGATTATGTCAATGAAAAGCCTTTAAATATGTCATATAAACTCAAGGCAATGTGATCTAAGGGTTTTTTCCTATTTCTTCTGTAAGTTAATGTACCCACAAATTAAAATGCAAGACAAAAGTTCACTTTCATATTCACTTCACAAGAAGATACTCCCTGAGAGGGAATGGGAGGCTATGGGACTTGGCCATGAGGACAGAGCAAAGCACAGCCTACACAGATTTGACCATGGGTCATAGGTCAGAGAGATTTTTCTTTAAATTTAGCAATTTAAAATATAAGCAATAAAACGTCTCCATGTCTTCAAATTGTTACGTGTGCAGTATGTTCCTGTGTTTTCTTAAACGTGCGTTCTCTGTTTCCCGTATCTCCTCCAATCATCCATCTCATCTTTTGATAACCATGTCATGTGTCCTCTCAACTGCTTTTTCCTCCTTTCTTTCTCTCCTCCACTTCCACTCCCTCCCCCTCCCTTGTGTTCCTCTGTCTTCCTTCTCCCTTTCCATTAACCTCTGCCTTCCTTCTGCCTGGTTGTCCATGTCCCCTCTCCTTGATCTTCCTCCCCTCCTGTGCTCTCATTCGACCACGTGTGCTTGGAGGCTGGCACTCGGGATGCTGAGCGCGCTCTGATGCCTGTTATTGGGTGATGCCAAGCCCTGATCCTACCAAAGGATCACATTGGGCTCTTCAGACCATTTGTTGACAATTAAAATTCCATTATGTCTTAGCTTCTGTAGTAATGAAACAGCACCAAAAATGTTTATCCAAAATCAAATGCCCAGATATTTGGTTAATAGTCCTTCCTCTAAATACGAACAAGAATTTTGAATAATGTACATTTTTTCTTACTTGGATGAAGCCAGTTACTCCAGATAAGCATTATATTTTATTATATTGTACCTTATACTTAGTATAAAAAGAAGTAATTATTGATTGATTACTGTGATAGCAATAAGTCAGGGAGTGATACTGAGTCAGATTTGTCTAGATGGTAGAAATACTTTATTAACCAATAAACCAGCTTATTTATTAGCACGCCAACTGTAACACAATATTTTCGACCCGTCTAGTTTATACTATTCATCCTAAAGCAGGTTAACAAGATACACAATGTATTCATGATTTTTTTAATTTGATAATTAGAAATTAAAGTTTTCCTTATAATCTTATGCTTTTTTCCTCCTCAGACCTATTCAGTGACTTTTCATTGTTGACCTTAAGTGAGAGAACAAATGCCTTAGTCTTGAACACTCTAGATGCTTTGTAATTCAGAGCTCTGGGACCAATCTGTACAGCAATTTATTCTGAAGAATGAATGAAGAAGCAAAATGAGCTTTAAAAAGGATTTCTACTTGATTACTTTTCCTGTTTACTCCAGTGAATGCTTTTTTTCCATCCAAACTCTAGCAGGATTAATATGTCCAATCCCAAGCCTTAAGGGAGGTTTACAAGTGAATGTAACTGCTTCCCCAGATACAAAGAATTACGTAGCATAGTCAGAAGCATTTGAAACTACACGTATATTGCCTCCAGCTCAATCTTCTCACCAATTCAACAACGTTCAGCAAATATGTTCTTCACAGCACAACTCTTATTTAAGAGTTATTTGGACTCTTCCTCTTCCCTTCCTTTTACAAACAGGTCAGTCCTAAAGGTGAGGCAGAGCAAGGTAAGCGTCTACACCAGTGGGAGCTGAGGGGCAGCTGAGGAGGCCCAGGACCTGCAACGAGGTGTAAGAGCTTGAGTGGGTGAAGAGGGAGTCCACACACCAGGGAGCAGCTTGGCACAGGATGTCAGAGCCCATGAAGGGTGAGTAGAGTGGCCCTACAGTGCAAGGAGGGAGCTTACGACATGGACAGTCAGAGCCCAAACAGGGTGAGAATGGGGAGTCCCATAGTGGGGTGGAGAAGAGGCTCAGACTGGATGAGGGTTCAACATAAGGTATCAGAGCCTGAGGCAGGAGAGGATGACATCTACATAGGGTGGGGGAGAGGCAGAGATGGGAGCTTGGTTACCACAGGGGGTATGGTTCAAATAAGAAAATTTACAAATGATAATAAGATTCAGGTTTCTCACTGCTGGAGAAGGGAGTTGCAGATATTCAAAAGGAAAAACTAGAATGAACCCTTTTTTGTTGGATTGGAATTAGAGGTATTGATGTTAGCAGTTCTCACTGTTCTCAATACATGGATAGATTTATACATATAGATGTAAATGTGTGTTTGTAAACATATCTTGCACTTTCTCTCTAGATATATATAGACATAGATGCAAATACAAATATAGATATAGATATAGATGTAGATATAGATATAGTCTTTAACGTTCTAACTGAGAAGGCCTGGGAGCAACAACACCTCAATGCCAATGAGCACATCCAGTGCCCAGATCTTGGTTTCTAAATGCCATGCTCTGCTAAAAGAACCAGGGCTTCTTGGGGAAATGGCTGATTTCAGGGATGGGGCAGGAAAGGGACAATTTAAGATAGAACATCTCTTTGTACTAAAAGATAAGGAAGTACTCAAATAATGATGGGTACATATCAAAGGGTACAAAAGCCAACCACAAAAGTAGCAGGATACTAAGTAAGACAGGTCAAAGGCTTCCTCTCTCTTTACTTGCCCTCACAAATAATGCCAAGAAGAATAAAATGAAAATATCACCTTCTCTGCTTTCAGGCTTCTGCTGAAAGTGGGCTAGTTTGATGACTTGAAGAGTCTTGGACGCTGGGTGTTGATAGATACATATCAGAGGAGTAAATGAGTACTAAGCATGGAGTATGCAAAAGTTTCTTTTTATTTATCCTCATGCAGTGATCACCCTATCATTTACAATGGCCCCTCAATCTTAGCTTATCTTACCTGAGATCAACACAGTCCATTAGTCCCATCAGTTTCTATGAACCAGAACAGTCCTTAGTGAGGCCAGGGGTCTTAGGTCTCATTTTAGGAGACTGTCCTAAAAATGCTCCATAATAGAGAGTAAGTATGATTTCTTTCAGAAATGATTACCACAATAAGATTAGTGAATATCCATAGTCTCCCATAGATATAAAATTAAAGAAATAGAAAAAAAAATTTTTTTTCTTGTGATGAGAACTCTAAGGATTTACTCTCTTAACAACTTTCATATATAATATACAGCAGTGTTAATTATATTTATCATGTTGTACATTACATCCCTAGTATTTATTAGTTTGTCTCCGGAAGTTTATATCTTCTGACTACCTTCATGTAACCCCCCATCCCATCCCCCCACCCCACACCTCTGGTAATCACAAAGCTGATCTCTTTATATGGGTTGGTTTGTTTGTTTTTGAAGTATAATTGACTTACAACACTATGAGAGTTGCTGGTGCAGAACACAGTGATTCAATATTTCTATGCATTACAAAATGGTCACTACAATAAGTCTAGTTACCATCCGTCACCATACGAAGATATTACAAAATTGCTGACTATATTCCCCATGCTGTACATTTCATACCTGTGACATTTATTTTGTAGCTGGTAGTTTGTACCTCTTAATCTCCCTTACCTATTATTCTCCTCTCCAGAATTCCCTCACCTCTGGCAACCACCTATTTTGTTCTCTGTATCTATGACTCTGTTTCTGATGTTTGTTCATTTGTCTTGTTTTTTAGATTCCCCATATAAGTGAAGTCATACCATATTTGTCTTTCTCTGTCTGACTTATTTCACTTAGCATAATATTCTCTAGGTCCATCCATGTTGTTGCAAAATGCAAGATTTAATTTTTTTGTGGCTGAGTAATATTCCATTGTATTTATCCATATAATATTCTTTATCCATTCATCCAATAATGGGCACTTAGGTTGCTTCCATATCTTAGCTCTTGTAAATAATGCTGTAATAAACATAGGGGTGCATATATCTTTTCTAATTAGTGTTTTCATTTTCTTTGGATATATACCTGAAAGTGGAATTCCTCAGTCATATGGTGCACAAGATTTCCCTTGTTTCCTTTTCTCCAGATCCTTACCAGCCATTGTTATTTGTTGTCTTTTTGATAATAGCCATTCTGACAGGTGTGAGGTGGTAACTCGTTGTGCTTTTGATTTGCATTTTCCTGATG